CTCTGTTTAGCCATGTAGATCTTGATCATTTCCTTAATACCTGGTATAGCTAATTCTCACAACATATTATTACATATGAGCACATATATCTTGGTGTTTGTATTAGTCCAGGGATCTGGACTTCACTTAGCTTCACTTGCCTTAGCTGAGGAGCCAATACTTTCTGGGTTCCCCCTCCCCTTCACCACTCCTTCCCACGTTCCCCTGCACACACCCTGGGTATCATTAAATAACACCTTCCCCGTTCTTACCCCTGCCTAAGAATTCTCAAGCCCAGACACCTGGGCAGAATCTAACCTATACGATCTGGATATCTAAGAGTCCCAGCCAGAGCTCTTGAGGACACAAGATGCTAACCAGAGGTGCAGCCTGTGCTGAGGATGAAGGGGACAGAAGAGGTATAGGGAGAAGAATCTGGGGTCCTGTGCTTCCGGGAATCCTGACCACAAAAGTGAAGGAGGGAGAGAAATTGGCTGAGGGCAATGGAGTTCCAGACCCTTGAACTAAGACTAGGAAGAGTTGGGGAATCCCAGCTCCTGTGACCTCTGCCCGAAAAGGCCTGGGAATAGGCCCCAAGAAACTGTGCCTGGGGCAGCTCTGGCTCTGAAACTCATTTTATTATTGAGTTGAATGAGCACACTTTCCTTCATCTGAAATATGTTTGACTTGTGAAGATGCCTAAATGCCTAAGTTGTGGTGGAAACAGAAACAGAAGAAGTTTGCCTTACACCAGTAGAGATATGTCCACTCTGGTGCAATTTTATTATATAAATAGGATTAACAGGATTAGAGAACACATTGCATTCTAGATGTGGACCTGGGCAAGCACCAGCATGAGAAGCACGTATCTTTGTTATTAGTGGCATTGTGCCTTTCTATCCTAACAGAGGTTGATAACGAGGGTAAGGATATGGAAGAAGTTCTCACCCAAGAAGAGGCATAGGTTAGAGATTTTCATTGCTGAGTTTCAAGGAAGTTCAAGTTTTATAGCTATACACTTACAGCTATAAAATAATTTCTTTTAATGAAATTCCTCTAGGAAAACAAGTTTATTCCCAGTCTGAAACTCTCTAATCACTTTAGCTACGAACAATGGTTTTGAAAGCTAGGTGTCTTTTCGTTTGTATGTTTATTTTTAATTAGAACTGCTTTCATTGAATTACGGCAGGAGAGTGTATCATATTGCCATGATCTCATTCCACTCTCTTTCATTTACTCATTCCCTCTCTCTGATATTTTGAGAGTCCCCTCACTCCTTGTGTCTGAGCATTTGGGGAAAATGAAAGTGTGTGTGTTTGGAAAGGTGCGAGGGACACTTTCTTCAGGTAGTTATAAACTATACTGAAGGAACCTAGATGGAGATTTTGCTGGCCTTCTAGGCACGCCAGTGGGGCAGGCAGGGAGGATGGAAGAACACTGGAGCAGTGCTTTCCGAGCTTTCTGGGGCAGGCTGCAGAGCTGTTTCCCTCAAATGACTGCTTTTTTTCAGAGTCAGGTTCCTAGTCTCCCCAGAGGGGGCTCTGTGGCGTGGCTACCAGAGCTTGAGGGGTGCCTGCATGGCTTTCTCGAGTGCTTCTTCCTTCCCAGTCTCATCCTCAGAAGATTATTTCTTCCTTGGGAAAAGGAAGAGAAAAGGAGAAAGACAAAAAAGCTCCCTCAGCCTCTTGCAAGCCTGATCCGATCACCTTTCAAATGCCCTAAGGTGTCCCATCTCTAACAATGTCCTCTTCTGCCACAAACCTTGACATCAGGTGTCTCCTCTGCCTTAAATGTACTTTTTCTTCTCTCTGCTGAGTCAGGTGCTGCTCATCCTTTCAGCTCAGTTCAAGCATCATTTGTTCAAAAGAGCCTCCCCAGCCTTCCTGACAGATTTGTATCTTCCCATTCTACACCTGTCAGTCATTACATTTAGAGGCTTGTAGTCCTTTCCCTTGAAGCAGAAATGGGCCCGGGAATCTTTGGAAGACTGAAGGGATTGCACCCGATGTTCTGTGGAGGTCAGCCCCGCAGCACAGTGGTAGGTTAGCAAGCTCTTGACTGGCTGTGCAATCAGGAGCAGAACGGCCCTCCTTTTGATTTTAGTTTCCTGGCCTCTTACACCAGGGGGATGCCTAGGCCTGTCCAGCAAGAAGAATATGTGGGCCACTTTAGAAGACGCGTTCAGGAAATATCACCAGTTTTAATAATTCTAGTAGGTAAACTGATCACTATTTTAAGAAGATAAAAAGCAGGTAGGAAGGAAAAAATTTGCCCCTTTCCAATGCTGACTTTATAAATTGGCAATGAGGGGTTCCTGGGTGGCTCAGTCGTAAGCGTCCGCCTTTGGCTCAGGTCATGATCCCAGGGTCCTGGGATCGAGCCCCGCATCGGGCTCCCTGCTCCACAGGAAGCCTGCTTCTCCCTCTCCCACTCCTCCTGCTTGTATTTCCTCTCTCGTCTCTCTCTCTGTCAAATAAATAAATCTTTAAAAAAAAAATAATAAATTGGCAATGAACTGCACTGGGCCTTAGTGTAAAACCTCTGCTGACTAATTGGGGTTCTAGTTATATTAGCTAAGCTTCCAGGTTCCATTCAGAATTAGAGAATGAGATGCTATTTTTCCAGTATGCTTGCAGTATTTTATTAAGGCCAGTGTTGTTCAGTCCAGGTGATTCAGATTTGAAGGCAGGTAAGAATTTGTGGACATTTAATTTAATGTGTGTGTGCATATCTCTGTCATGAGATAAAATGTATTTCTTACTGTGAATTATATACAAGAGAGTTTAGAAGCAGCTGATTTAAGCTAAACTATGTGATTAAGCCTTAATGTCATCTTAATTTTCATTTGGGATCAGAGTTTGGTAGGAATGCATGAAACCACCTATGAAGGAAATCCATATACCAGGTAAATTCAGGATTGTTAACTCTCCTGTAATGGAAAGCTAGAAAGAGCTTAAAAAAGAATACCCTTTTTTAGATTTGCCATTCATTTTAGTCTGGATATCGTAATGGAGAAAACTCTTTAATTACATTCCTTACAAAAGACCAGAAAACTCAGGGGCGCCTGGGTGGCTCAGTCAGTTAAGTGTCTGCCTTCAGCTCAGGTCATGATCCTGGGGTCCTGGGATCGAGCCCCACATCAGGCACCCTGCCCAGCGGGGCGCCTGCTTCTCCCTCTGCCTCCCTCACCACCCCGCTCATGTTCTCTCTCTCAAATAAATAAATAAAATCTTTAAAAAAAAAAAACTCAAATAACCAGTTTCTCTCTCTTTTGCTTAACCCACTTTATTTCTGTACTGTGAGCTGTGATCATCAGTGACAAGGAAACAATTTGATTCCTTAAAAAAAAGCAAGAAAGCAAGCAAGCAAAAAAAGTGTCACCTAGTATTAAAGTATACAACTTCAAAATCTTTGTAAAATTGGTAATGGGGACATGGCAAAAGTGATGAAGTTTAGTTAATACTGGACAGATTTTTATCACCTTTAGAGAGTATGCTTGAGATGGTCTGACTTAAAAATAATGTGGGTTCCCCTGAGCAGCTGGGTAGACCTTAGTTATGGTAAGAGGATGTGGTCATTTTCTTCAGAAAAAAAAGGAAGGGCTTCATCTACACTTGAGGGCGTGGTCAGACTGATCTTTCAAGGAAGAAGTAACAGTGTGGTTTAGATTGCATAGCAAAAACACAACTTGGTAAAGTTACAAAAGGGTGCCCTGGTAGAAAATCTATTATTTGTCCAGCTTGAACTCTTACTCCAGGCACTAGGTGGTAACAAATTTGTTAGCAATCACTGATGTGATATTTAAAATACAGAGTAGCCTGGTCACTGGTGATTTGCCCATGTGCTGATATAAGGTGGGCTGATCTTTTTTATTCTAATATCAATAGTTGGGTAAAAGAGCTTACATTGCCTTCTTGTGTCCTTCCCTCATCGGCACCACCCCCTTTTCTGTTTACTAAGTCATGTCTCAGCAAGTTCCCAAGGATTATTGTTTAATATGATTAAAAACAATAGTTTGTTATAATAAGGGCAATAGTACATCCCCTCTCTGCCCACCCTAGGCATAAAAGCACAGTCGTCTTGGGCGCCTGGGTGGCTCAGTTGGTTAAGCGACTGCCTTCGGCTCAGGTCATGATCCTGGAGTCCCGGGATCGAGTCCCGCATCGGGCTCCCTGCTCAGCAGGGAACCTGCTTCTCCCTCTGACCCTCCCCACTCTCATGCTCTATCTCATTCTCTCTCTCAAATAAATAAATAAAATCTTAAAAAAAAAAAAAGCACAGGCTTCAGAGTCAGGAAGACCTGAACCCAGATCACTTCTCTACCATTTATTTATACTTTGAGCTTAAACAAGTTCTGTAACCTCTCTGAATTTCAGTTGTCATCTCTATAATATTGCCTACTTTATAAGCATTTTGTGAGATTTTATAAGATTTCAATAAGTGCTTACTTCTGTCCCTGGCATTCAATATATGCTTGTTGTTGCTATTATTATTATACTTATAATAAATAATATTTTGAATATAATAAATATATAAATAATAAAATGGATCATAAATTAATAAAATAAATGAATAGTAAATAATAAAATGAAATAATACTATTTTAATCATAATCCTAAAATCTTTTTCATATTCCTTGTTTGCTGTAAAATATGTTAATAGGGGGCAGACTTGCTTCCCAAGCTCTGGCTCTCTGCTCCCTGTTCCTATTGTATACAGGGTGTATAGTGGCCAAAGACAAAAATTTATGACTTTTTGCAACTTGAGGTATTTATAGTCTTCTACACAGTTGTATTCTGGTGCTTTTCAAGAAAAAAGCAATAAGAATTAAAGGTATGTTGTGTAGGTACTTCCAGTCCCCATATCTATATCTGTCACCATTAATCAAACAACGTGATACTCATAAAAGAGTTGTTTGAAATTATATCAACAGGAGTGGTAAGTGGAATTAGAAGTGGAATTTATTGAATTTTTAAGATTTTTTGAAACTGTTATAATACAAATTGTTTTCTCCTTAACAGATGGGCTTAGGTCATGAGCAAGGATTTGGAGCCCCCTGTTTAAAATGCAAAGAAAAATGTGAAGGATTCGAACTACACTTTTGGAGGTAATATTTTAAAAAACTACAACCACATGAATAATTTCTGCTCTTTGACAGTGTTTCCTCAGGCAGTGGAGATTTCTTGCGAATTCTCTAGCATGGTTGCTAAGTTGTAGATCTGTCATATTCTTTTCTAAGAAATAAATAAAAAATAAATCTATTCTGTCTTCCTATCATTAAGTGTGACTGAGCTAACTGGGCCATAGTAACTATATTTGGAATTATTTGCTGTCCTTCATATTTCCTGAGTCTAGAATACCGAATATGTCTCTTTTCTGAGCAGCAAGTAAGTTTATGGTAATCTGTCACTATTTATTATAATTATTATTCTTTTCTTAAAAATTGGTAACTTTGCACATCTTATCTGTATATTTGCAATAAATAATAAATATGGCTAATTAAGCATTCATGTGCTAGTTGTCAGGACATAGACTTGAACCTAAGGGCTCTTCAAAATTTTCAGCTATAAATTTACCACTGAGAAACTTTGAAACACTTAAATTAAAAAAATAATAATTCATCTCCATTGTCTTGGCTTGAATCAAGTGCACATACATGACAGACAACTGTTAATGGATCAAAAATGTGAATTTTGAAAACAAAATGTGAATTTTGTGTAGATCTGATTTACATATTTTAAAGTGATAATATATCCTATACATCTAAAAATCGCTATTTTAAACCTGTTCTTATAAGAATAAATGTTGTTCATCAATGGCTGTCAAGGACTGTAATGGTAGTTTATAAATCTGTTCAAAGTTAGAATCGGCATGTTATTGTTAGAAGAAAAAAGTTAGTCATCAACTATACATCATTAAGACAAGGAGAAAAAGTTAGTCATCAACTATACATCATTAGGACGAGGAGAAAAATTAGTCATCAACTATACATTATTAGGACGACAGATGCCTTGTTAGAATAAACCTCACTTGAGAACCTCTGTTCTCACAGTGAGAACCTCACCTCTGTACTGCATATTTCCATAGAAAACTCTCTAGAATAAAAAATTTCATCTGTTCTTGGGGCTGTGTACAATGTAAGTTAAAGGAGAATGTAAACAAATAAAATTTGAGATATTAGGCTCTTTTAAAGGTTTATTTAGCAAGTTTTAGGAAACAAAGACAGTTGTTTTAAATAGTGGGGGCTTCCTTACTCCCTGTCTTAGCTCAGGCTCCCATAGCAAAATCCCATAGACTGGATGGCTGAAACAACAGAGACATATTGTCTTCTAGTTTTGGAGGCTGGAAACAGAAACCTCTGCTCGCCAAGAAATGACGGTACAGTTCTTTATTTGTAGGGAGCTAAAATTTTCCAGGGAAGTTTTTAATTACAAGACTTTCATGGCTCTTCCCTGTGCCCCCTTTTCAAGGGACATAGCAGTTAGGCAGCATGTCTGTCATGGTTTTGAAAGGTAAAGTCACTAGACACAAAACAGATTTCACGGATTAAACTATTTGAGCTCGGACGGCGCACACCACTTAATTGTGCTCTCAGTGGGCTGTGTAGAGAGTTGCACTGCCCTCTGCTGGGCATGGTTCTTACTGTGCAATCAAAATAATCTTTTTAGGTTGGCTATAGTTGCCAAAAACTGCTAATGACATTTTTAAAGCTTATTCCTAAGTGATAGCATCTTTTCTCTAAAGCAGAAGGTTAGTTTAGAGTAATTCTTATTTGTGCTATATTATTTTTCTATTGCAGATCACTATAATCTGAGACTTTCAGATAAAAATGTCAGAGAAGAGCTGACTTCTGTGGCCTGAAAATCACTTTTTTGTTTTCATTTTTCCATTTACTTACCTTGGTATACTCTGAGAATTTGTTAGGAGTCATAAAAGACTAGGGTTTTGCCACAGCCTCCAGCCTCCAGCCTCGCTTGGATTTATACAGATCGTCCAGAAGGTTACTTAGTAGTTCTGTCTTCTTCCTGGCATGAATTCGGACACATTTCTCTCTCAGAATTCTTGATAATTCCCTGACTTTTTCACCATAACTAGAAGGCTAGAGGGCAGGTGTCTTCGACTTCCAGATGAGCCATTTTTAGTATAGTCATTGAAGTAAAATATGCTGGGCTGGTTGTCCTCAGTATAATGAAGATTCCAGGTCTGGTCTAGGGCCATAGAGCTGCTGTGATTAAAGTGGGACATAGAGTCCCAGGATCCTGTCCGCTGAGCTTCCTCTTCCATCTTCATGGTAACCCTTGACTTCTAGGACCCGTAGGGCTTCGTGGGGCACATTGTGAACATCAGAGCTAAGTTAATTATTCCCCACTTTTCAGCGATCTGACTTCCATGCAGCCATAGAATGGTCTTGAAAATGGATACTATTGTGTACTTCCCAATAGCTTAAGAACCTTCATTGCTTTCCCACTTGGCTTGATCCTTTAGGCAAAATGTTTGGCCTCAAACCTCAACATCTACTCCTGCTTGCTTGTCTAGTCTCCTCTCCCACTTCCCCTCCAAGCACCCTGTGCCTCAACTGCTGAGGTACATACTGTTCCCTGAAATACTTGTAGTGTTGGTTTTTGTGTGTGTGTGTGTGTGTGTGTATGTTTCCTTTAACTGGAAAGACCCTACATCTTACCATCATGAAACAAAAAGTCCTTCCTATTCTTGAAGTCTCGGTTCAAGCATTACCTCTGAGAACTCTTCCTTACTCCCTGTCTTAGCTCAGGCTCCCATAGCAAAATCCCATAGACTGGATGGCTGAAACAACAGAGACATATTGTCTTCTAGTTTTGGAGGCTGGAAATGCAAGAAGTTCAGTATCAGAGCATGGTTGGGTTCTGGTGAGAAACCTCTTCCTGCTCTGCAGACGGCCACCTTCTCTCTGTGTCCTCACATGTTCTCAGTGCATGTATATGGAGAGAGAGATCTCTCTCTTCCTCTTCTTATAAAGCCACCAGTCCTATCATATTAGGGCCTTACTCTTATGACCTCATTTAACTTTACCTCCCCAAAGCTCTGTCTACACATACAGTCACACTAGGGGTTAGGGCTTCAACATACGAATTGGGGGGGAGGCACAATTCAGTCCTTGGCATCCTCTTCCCTGCTTCTACACACCCCCAAGGAAAGTAAGGGGTCATTTTTGGCCTGAGCACCTTGTACACTTGTAGGAAGCCAGGAAATAAATCCTCAGACCTCACTATTCTTCTTCACTCGGATTTCTTGCTGGCACCTTCCATTGCTAGGGACAAGGTAGCCCAAAGCTGCAGTCCTTACAGGTCAGCCTCCTAGAGCATGGTTCAGGGTACTGTGCAGAAGGGTGCAGAATGGATCTGGAGAGTGAATGAAAGAGATCCAGCAGGCATGATTGCCTGTTCAAGGTGTGTTACAACAGCTGTGAAAAAACTAAAAATGAATTCTTAGTCTTATGGAAGTTTAGAGTGGAACTTGGAACTTAGCTAGTCAGACCTCATTTTTTAGATCAAAGACCTAAAACCCAAAGGAAGTTAAAATGACTTGTTTGAGCCTATTAGATATTAATAAGAAATATAATTTATGAAATTGCCTGTGGCACACACTAATAAGCACTTATAATGATTTTCTATTGCTGCATAACAAAATTACTACAAATTTAGCAGGTTAAAACAACACTTAGTAATGGATTCCATTTATGCTTTAGGCCAGAAATCAAGGCAGGCTTAGCTGGATTCTCTGCTTAGGATTTCAAAAGGTTGAAATTAGGTTTTGGCCAGGTTGGGCTCTAATCTGAAAACTGGGATTAGAATTTGCTTCTAGACTCATTCGTGATGTTGGTAGAATTCATTTCCTTCATTTCCTGTGGTTGTAGGTTGTCCCTGTTTCTTTGCCAGCTGTCAGTCAGGGACTGTTCCCAGCTTCTAGAAGCCACCCACATTCCTTGGCACAGGGCCACCTCTGCCTTCAAAGTCACTAACAGTGCTTAGAATCCTTTCTATGCCTTAAATCTCTCCGGCTTCCTCTTCTGCGCCCAGCCAGAAAAAATTTGTTTTTAAAGGGCTCGTGTGATTAGATTTGGCACACCTGGATAATCTCCCTTTGTCATATGTAGTAACATAATCATGAGGGTGACACCAGAGGGTGCAGGTCAAAGGGGCCATCTTAGAATTCTGCTTACCACAACACTTTATGTCCCTGATTGTAACTAATCTTCATAATACCCTTTGAGGTAAGTGATAGTATTCCATTTTATATATGAAAAATCAGAGGTTTAGGGAAATTAAATGACTTACCAGAGGCATGGCTTATAGATGGCAGAGCTCAAATCTGGACCCAAAGCTTGCCAAAACCTTCCTCATCACCACCTTCTACATGGCAGAACAGAAACTAGAAGCCATGTTCATGTGCCTCATGATCAGTGAACTTTGGGGGCTGCATCAGGCTGTCTTCTCTACAGTGTGGTGCTTTTGGGACATATACGTCTTTGTGGACAATGACGCTTTAACTGTGAGCTCTGTCTGTCTTCACTGCATCAACAATGACAAGACTAGAGAAAAATAAAAGGTTGAGGAAGGCTGATACTTACTAAATAAGAGCTGTTGTCTTCTGGACACACTTCCAAGTAATATCTAGAGCTAACAAATATTTATGAGATATTAAGACACACACCCAAGATTTTGAGTTTATAGTCAATCATTTCATTTTGAAAGTAATATCATTAGGATAATAGTTATTCATCATAGAAGTGATAGAATTAGTCTTTTATCTAATAAGATAGTAGCATTTTGTAAGAAAAGTGTTACTTGAATGTAGCATACATCTGTCCAGAGAATTTCTGATTGGTTTAGGGCTGGCTGAAAACTAAAAATTTCCCACCATAAATGGATTAATCCTTGTGTGGAATCCTGTAACACAGGCCCACACTTAAGTCCATATAAGTATATCCCTGTTATAAAACGGCAGCTTCCAACCATTTTAAAATATGGTTTGTAGCAGTGCCATGACCATACCTTTAAATCACTGTGAATACGGGCAGTATGTCAAAGCACTCCAGTTGCTACTACTTGCCTTGTAAAAATAATATTT